GGAGTTTCATTGTGATTCAGTAAAAGTGATGAGGTTATTAACCACAGCTAATCAACAATTCACTAGAAGTGTTTAGGCATTACCTCCATCGGTGTAGAAAATGACTACTTACTATATCAACGTACACAGAAATTGCCCATGAGAAGTTTCATTGAGAGTTAGTACAAGTGATGAGGTTATTAACAACAAGTAATCACCAGTTCACTAGGAGTGTTTAAGCATTACCTACATCGATGTAGAAAATAACTACTTACTATGTTAACGTACGCAGAAATGGCCCATGAGAAGTTTCATTGAGAGTCAGTACAAGTTATGAGGTTATTAACCACAGCTAATCAACAATTCACTAGAAGTGTTTAAGCATTACCTACATGCACGTTTGTGATGCACCAATAACTACTCACAGTAGCATAATTGCAAATAGGAAAAAGAACATGACAGCAAATGCATCACAACTACAACAATAGAATAGAGAATAACAACGTCACTTTAGTCATTAACCAACAATCATCAAATACATCACAATAATTGATTTACATATGTTTCATGACAAGTGGACATTAAGATGATGCTTCCACTTAATGTTTCATTGTCAAGGACATCACCCACCCAACCGTCTATAGTATTTACAATGATATAACAATAACAGTTAAGGCATTGACCAACAAAAAACATACCCAACAACATAATGCCAACATGGCCAATACATTAAACTATTTACATTTTTTCAATCAAAAAAATGGCCTTACAATGCTAACAAAAAAATGACGCATCACATGGTGTACATCCCAAATCAACTTGGATTTGGGTTTTTGCATGTCTTTCTTGTATGTCCAATTTGATGACATTGAGTACAGCGGTATATCTTTTTGTCTTGGTATTGTGACTCATGCCTTGTAATCTTAGGCCTTCCAGGAGCCCGACTTGTGATTGGGGGTTGCAGCAAAATTGATTAGATATATTCTCCATCCTATAGTCATTTATATTTGGCATGTCAATTGTGACCACCGGAGTCATGCACCTGCCATAAATCTTTTGTTGACATGAAAATTTGTGCCATCCCTCAATATAATCATAAATATCACCATGGACAGTTTTCACTGCTGCACAAGCATGCCTACATGGAATCCCTGTCATCTGCCACTCTGCACAACTACAATGGTGCAAGTTGAGACTCACTTAGTGGTGTCCACGTGAGGTTTGGATATTGACATTTTGCATACCATAATCTGTTGTAATGAACTGCTTACTAACCTCCACATTTTCCGTTAGTTTGGTCTCTATCTTTGGCCCTATACAACTCTTCCATTTTGTCATTGCCACACTTGATGCTTGCATCTTTTTCGCAACTTTCTCACGATGCTCATGAATCATTTGGGCTACATTGAGCTTTCTTTCCTTGACCATCCAAGCATTGAATGATCCAGCAATATTGGTGGTTATATTGTCCCATCATTTATATGGGAACTTGCTCACAGCCCACTTATCTACATCCTAATGATTATTAAGCCAGTCAAATAACTCTGGAGAGAACTCCCTCATTTCTGCCATTGCCTTGTCAAATTCATCGTGAACCCTAGCCCATGCAATTTTATTAAGAAGTATTAATGCATCCTCTTTAGAGTGTGTTCTGCTCCTTTTACCTCTGTTCAATTTGAGCCACTCTGCACTAAAGTTCTCCTTAACGTGCCTATAACAATATGCATGCCTGTCAGAATCGAACACTGATTATACAGCTCCTATTATGGCATTATGACGGTCTGACACAATAGTTAATGGCTTTGAGCCAACTATTTTTGTAATCATAGACATAAACCAAGTCCAGTCATCAATTGTCTCTCCCTTACAATAGCCATTGTAAAAGGCAACAGCTCATTATTTGCATTATATGCCGAACCTACGAGGAGTGTTCCCTTATATGGTCCAGATAAATGAAATCTGTCAACATACCAAACTAGTCTAGCACCAGCCAAGAAACCCTCTATACAACACCCGTATGCGATGAACACATGCTCAAATCTGTAGTTAGGACTAGCTACCCATTCAGCTACTGTTTTCTCATCGGTTTCCTTCAACCTTTGGCATATCCATGGTATTAACATATATGAATGTTTAGGTCTACCATGTGTGTCTTTTATTGCCTTCTCCTTCGCCCTATATGCTTGTTTATATGTAACATTCAGCATGGTTCCTTATTGCCTTCTTCTATTGCCTTCTGTTTGCAATTTTGTCCTTATTTCACTTGCCCGCTTGTCAGTATGGTTCCTCACCTCATCGATAATTATACAGGATGTCACATTAGATCTTGCACACTGTCTAACTTGCAAATTATCTTAGGCACTATGAACATGCTCATTAATGAATGTGGTGACACGAAGATATGGAACATTTTTCCCCAATGCACTTGCACATATTTTCCATGGGCAACCTTCCACTTTGCAAATGACAAACATTCTCTCTTTGCTGTTCCTCAAAAATTTAAGCTTAAAATTATGTGCGATGCTAAACTTGTACAAATACTCCCTAAACAAACTAGCATGTTGAATTTTCTGCCCCACGCCTGTAAAAAGTTCCAACCATTTACTATAGTTCATCTGAGTAATTTGTGCCACTGCATTCCCTCCACTGGAGCTCGGGCCTTCATGCAGGCCATCACTGCCTACATGTGAGCCACTTGGGACTTGATAAGGAATGCATTCAGCAGTACTTTCATGACTGACGTGCTCATAATCGTTTCCCAAACTGATATAAGATACAACCATTTCCTGGCGTGACAATCCCAACCATCTTTCAATTTCGGATTTGCATACATGATAACTACAATTGTTAGCATATTGACAACATCTGTTCCTACATTCACTACATTAGCACAGCAAATAGCAACTTACACCAGCAAAAAAATTTTTACTTACATTTGTGCATCAGTCATCTCATGTGGTTTTGTCTCAATTCTGCATGCACGATCACTACATTTGTTAGCATATTAATAATATCTGTTCCCATATTAACTACATTAGCACAGCAAATATCAACTTCCACCATGAAATATTTTTTTACTTACCTCTGTGTATCATTCATCTCAGGTGGTTCTGTCTCAATTCTGCATGCATGATAACTACATTTGTTAGCATATTAACAACATCTATTCCTACATTCACTACATTAGCACGACAAATAGCAACTTACACTAGCAAAGATGTTTTTACTTACATTTGTGCATCAGTCATCTCATGTGGTTCTATCTCAATTCTGCATGCACAATAACTACAATTGTTAGCATATTAACAATATCTGTTCTTACACTAACTACATTAGCACAGCAAATAGCAATGTTACCAGGAAAAAAATTTTTTACTTACATTTGTGCATCAGTCATCTTTGGTTCTGTTTCAATTCTGCATGCACGATCACTACATTTGTTAGCATATTAACAACATCTGTTCCTACATTCACTACATTAGCACAGCAAATAGCAACTTACACTAGCAAAAAAAATTTTACTTACATTTGTGCATCAGTCATCTCATGTGGTTCTGTCTCAATTCTGAATGCACGATAACTACAATTGTTAGCATATTAACAATATCTGTTCCCACATTAACTACATTAGCACAACAAATAACAACTTCAACCAGAAGAAATTTATAACTTACATTTCTTGATCATTGATTTTATGTCTTTCAGTCTCATTGCCTTTCAATGATACATACACATGCGCAATGATGTCATTATGCACAAAAATATTTCTAACTCCGCCATCATCAACAAGATCAATTAATGTCCTCTCATCATACTTGACAGTATACTTCATGTCCCAACTGCTACTATCGTAACCACTGCATTTTGATATAGTTGCCCTTAAATCTTCAAGTGTCATTCCATCTTTTATCGTTTCTACATGTACTCTACCTCCATGATATCTAACTTGACCTTCAGGACTAATAACAAATTCTTCATCTACATGAAAGTAACAAAATAATTCCTTCCCAGGAGTGGAGCCAATATTACAATTCATTGTGCAAGCTAAGCTGAAACAAATGAATAATCATTATGTTAGTTCACCGATAATGATATTTTGTCACTTCTTTAAATAAAGATAAATAACAGTACCTCTTTACCCATTAACAACTTTAGTTTAGGGTTTCACACTTTAACATTAGCTATTAACTATAATATCCACCCTATCATAACTGTGACGCCTCAAACTTCAATTTCATGCAATCAGCTTCGACTTTCTCCCAAAAACAATCCTCCATTCCCCAATACTAATCATTGTAAACCCTACCAATAAGCAACAAACCCCTATGGATAAATGCTTCAGCTCAGGCAAATAAAAATATAAACTTCACTGTCACCAACAAAACGCTGCAAGTACGCATGCTTCGACCTTCGTACATAACCCATTTTACTGTATCAGCTTCGTCGAAAAAACGTTGATAGACCCCTATTGATAAATGATCATGGTAGGGGATGAAAAGAGGAAGATTGTGGTGCACAAAATTACTTCACTTGCTTTTTTCAATCTCATTCAGATTTCAAGACCAAGAACGTGTACCCAACCATACCCACAATCACAATACTTCAAAATGAAGAACAAAACCACCGTGATTAGACCCCAGGATGAATAGACAAAAACTATGGTGTGAGAAATTACTAACCTTGCTTGCTTCAGCCACCTTTCAAGGTCCCACCGTCAAACGTTCTCCACCTTTCTTCGGTATAATTCTACAAAGCCATAAGTGTCATCGACATTTTCTTGCTTCAATATAATTCTTTTTGCTTTTACATCTGAGAAGGCAAATTTGTCCATTTGCCTCCATCTTGCAAATGACAGATCGGGTCATTTCCACAATTTCAAGACCTAATATGGAATTGTATATATTGGAGTGGCTTTATCTGTCATTTTCCCAATACTTAACTCTCACGAATTTGTATCCTCGCCTCACTTGGATGGATTATAACTCCTGCCTAAAATGATATCCTCTTATCCATCGGGGGTGTTCGTGCTCTTCACATCACAGCGCTCGGCTGATCACATCAGTGCTCAGTAAGCCATGCTTTGTGCAACCCCTGATTGTCTCACTTTCCTCCATTCCCTTCACAGAACCCTTTCCCTTCCTGTGAGTAGCTTGCCTTTCAATTCACTGAGCACCACTCGGAAGACTCTGCCATGTAAAGCGAGCATGATCACCAACTCTGAGTGGTTCGAAGTGGGACGGCTTATTGGGAGCTATGGCTTCATGAACGTCACCAGGTTCGTATCTTAAAGTCCATTTTTCTTTTTGTTCTCTTGGAACTTTCATGGTCCCTGCTAGTCTCATCGATTTCGTTTTCCTTAATCGCAAATGCATCTTGCAAAATGTCGGTCTGAATAAACCATTGCTTGATTGAGGACTTTCATTGGGTAATTTCTATAAGTGATTCTCCTAAGTAATCGATAATTGAATTTTTAATGGAAAATCGATTTAAGTTAATCAGTGCATTTAACATATTTATCTCTGAACTCTTGACTAACGGTGATAAATAGGGCCGATCATTGTGCTAGATTTTCTAATCTTCCATATTAAGTCCCATTGGTTTACTAGAAACGGATAAGGAGAGGAATTAAGAAATAGTTCTCAGATTATTTTCCATGTTACTTGGTTCTATATATTGGAAAGGGAAATGATCAAACACCAACAATTTGCGTCTCTTCCTTTGTGGTGAAGCAAATTGATGTTGGTTATCTTATTTTATATATTTAAACTTTTTTTTTTTTTTAATGCTCGTTGCCTATTTGCTGTGCTTTCAACTTTGCCTTGTGTGTTAAATTATGGTTAAATTGACTATCTGATTCATTTGTGTCTTACGGATAATAATTTGACAGTGGAGATTCATTCTTCTTTCTTAATTTATATCTTGTCTTCATTTTCCCAGCTATCCAGCCTTTCCTTCAGGTGCAATTACTGAATTTTCACCTGGAGATTTGGGAGAACTGAAAATTCAAGAGATCCGCGAAGGAAGCATCAAGATCAGGTAATTGGCATAGGATTCAACTAAATGATCTGGACCATAGATAACGTTATGCCACACTATGTTGTCTTGAATACTGATAATACTCATGGCAGCTCTTTTACAGGCTTTATGAAGGTAGAGTTGCTGAGGGTCCTCTTAGAGGAACTTCAATTGTTTTTAAGGTAGTATTATGATTTTTTTAGCCGCTCAAATCAAATCTTTACTATTACGTTGTTTGAGTATAGAGACTTTTGACTGTAAAGGTTTATCCTGGACAACGAGCTGGTGGAGTTGAGGCTGATATGATGGCTGCCAATGAATTGAATGCCCACATATTTCTTCAAGTAATGTAAAAGGACATGTGTATTACTTTTACATTTTTTAATTATTTGATGGTTATTCTAATATGTCTTGATTACATTCTTTTCCTTCCAGAACAGTTCGAAACGCATGAGCCAGCATCTTTTGACACTTGTGGGAGGATTTGAAACAATGACTGGGGAGCAGGTTTTTTATGTGATATTAGAAGTTCTGTCGAGTTATTTTTCTTGGCTCTAATTTTTTTTACTTATATATAAAAAATACTTGGCTTAGTGGCTTGCTTTTCGTGATGATGGGAAATATAGTTCGGCAGACTATGCGAAATTTGCTAGTGAAAGAGTATCAAAAAACCTTTCTTTAGGAGAGGCATCTTCTTGGAATCGCTTTGAACAAGAACAAATGATGAAGAGAAGGAGATATTTTATTATAAAGTTGCTTCAGGGTGCTTTGAGAGGTCTAGCTTTCATGCATGACCATGACAGATTGCACCAAAGTCTTGGACCATCTTCTGTGGTTCTCAAGTAAGAAATTAATTAGAAAGTATTCCAGTTCAAAATCTTCCCATAATTACGTTTTATTCTCATTCCTCATGTCCACTATTAATGTGCTTGTGATATGATGACAGCACAATTTCTGATAGAGAGGCCCGTTATTTGATTCCAAGGCTTCGAGATCTAGCTTTTTCTGTTGATGTCAGGTAAGTTAACGGTTTCTGAAGTCCTTTTTTACAGCAATTAACGTGTTTTCCATTTATTGACTTAGGCGCATAATGTGATCAACAAAAGTTATTTAATTTTTCTTTTCTTGTTTGATGTGTATTTATGTTGGCAGTGCATTTCTTATACGTATTCAATCAATTTGCACCACATAGTGATACTAAAATGTGTCAAAATTGGTGCTTTATTTATATTACACTATCATTTTGCTTATTCATCTCTAGTATCCAGATTCTGAGCACCTACATTATGACCTTTGCACTACTAACTGACATGATAGGCGGCATGATTTGCAAATCTAAATAGGCATCAATTAAGGAGTTGTAATATGCCACCCTAAAGCTGGCATACATATGTTGAACAAACCATATTTGAAGTGAGGTCTTCAAATAGGATATTTGAAGCTTATTCTCTGCGCTTTTTTTAGCCCTTTGATAATTATACTTCTATCTTTATCAGGCTGTGATTCATTTAATTTATTTATCTTGATTCTAGCAAGAGAAACACTAACTAATCATGTCTTGATTCTAACAGTCAACATAGTTTTACATTTAAATAAATTATTCTAGGTACTCAGGGCTAGAAGATGATCCTGCATCACTAGCAAATGGGCTCTGGAAACGAGCATCAGCTGCTGGTGCAGTCACACGTCTGGAGAAAAGAGCTTTTGGCATAGCTGATGACATGTAAATTATCAGAACTTGGCTAGATGTGGAAGCACCTTCAGCATCATTCTTGGGTTCTTATGTTTTGAATTCTGATGCAGATATGAAGCAGGACTTCTTTTTGCATACTTGGCTTTTGTTCCATTTTGTGAAGCTGGTATAATGGATAGCATTTCCTTGCAAGTAAGATGTGATGAAAATTTGATTTATTCTTTCTGAATCCGATAATTCGTAAAAATCTTCTCGTAAGATAACATCCATAGCACACTAAAATTTTTCTTCACCATGAAATTCAGAGGCTTCTGGAGAACACTTTTCAGCTTGATGTTGAGGCAACACGAGAGTAAGATACCTTTTAGTTTAATACAAATTGTGCTGATACTAGATATTTGTTATTTTATGATTTAATTCTTCTTTTGGTTGTGGTATATGCTTTAGGAGTTTGTCTCTTTGGTGACCTCATTTGGTTCTGGTCTTGGTTCTAATGCCAAATTGATGCTAAAGTTCTCCTGCAGAAACTGTAGCTTCGAGTTTTACTTGTTACTAAAGTGAAAATTGAAGATTAGGAATTCTATTGGGAGAGGAATCCTTGTTTTATTGGGAAGTATATTTTTCTCCGCATAAAACTAATCAATCTTGGGGCGGGCATTGCCTATCTTTGGAACCAACCAGAGTTCCCACATGAGTTTCCAAGCTGCATTAGTTTGTTCTGAGACTTCCACAACTTTTGGTATATAATGCCTCAGGAACAGTCAGAGCGGTATTGTTAAACCCATTAGCTACATGTAGATTTGTGTTATAAGCTCATCAAAACATGAAAGTTCACTGGTATGAGATTAATAATTTCATTTGTGTACGTTTTGCGCTGTTCTAGTTGAGAAAGGAGTTTGAATTAGTAATTTATGGGCGTCAATCAAGCATGTGTAGATTTATCTTTTAAAAAAATGAAATGTAAATGGGAACCACTTATGAAGAAACATTTTACCGTCTAATTGCTGTAGGTCTCACTTACCATTCAAAAGTTTTTATTTGCAGTTATTTAAATTGGTTATATTCTTTTTTTTTTTTTTTTAGGTGGTGAATTGGCTATATTCTTTACTACTACATTGGCAAATCTTACCAGTTATAAGATTGAAATTACAGTTTATTTTTCTGGGCCAGCGAACAAAATAAAATTAGCTATAACCTGACAATCTGTAAAATTCCAGATTGCAGTTTAGTTCCTCAGGTGCTATTGGTAGAAATTAATCAAATTATGTTGTCGGCCTTGTCTTACCCCCCCCCGGGGGGTTTCTGCCTCCTTTGGCAGGTACTGTCTGGCAGATAGCCGATTAGAAAATGCTGTTGAGTTCCTGGATCTGGGTGATGGTGCTGGCTGGGAGTTACTTCAGGTATATTAAAATGATTAGTTCGGTTGATGGCACAATTTTTTTTTTTTAATGTTAGTATCCCCCATTTTTGGGAATAATTGGGATTGCTTAATTATTCAATTTCCCCTCAAGCTGGGAAAAAGTGCTACTACTAACAACAAAATTCATTTTGGCCAAAACACTTTCAAGAATAATATTGGTGTTTCAATTAAAAATATTCATTAATTTTTTAAAATTATAATTATTTCAGTATATTTATTTTGGGCTAAAGACGATAAATATAATTTATTTTAAAATTGTTTTTCATAGAATGTTGCATATGTTGATTCAGTATCTAATTAATATCCATATTCAATTTTAGCTGAAAATAAGTATTGATATTTATTATCCTTTCGTTGATCAGGGTTTTTAACTCTTTTTTTTTTCCCATGAATATCACATTGGTTAATAATTATTTGTATGACTTTAAAATGCACCAACTAATGATTGTTTTATCGACTTGAAGGTATTTTGGTAACAATTGATTGAGTATACCATTTTTAACTTGTCTTGGCAATTGCCTATGGGAGTAAATCTTAAAGTTAAAACTAAGATTTTCTCCAATCAAATTACACTTGATATCATTCTTACCTTGACAATTGTGGTCGGCCCTCTTTATATTTATTGCTTCTTAACATTGTTAAACGTCTTAAACATGCCGTTCTTTCAAAATAAAATTACTTAATTTTGTGGGGTTAAGATGCACCTAGCATCTTGAAGCATTTTGCTAGGTATATACAATACTCAAGTATTTTATAGTAGGTCTAGCATCTTAAAGTATTTTTTTTTAGGTGTATATAGTATCCTAAAGATCTTATAGTTTATTCTACACCTTGAAGTATTTTTTTAGGTGCTGGTAATGAAAAATACGTTATGGTGTTTGATATATATTCATTTAATGGAGCTTTTGAGGGGTTAATGAGGAAGTTAAAATTGATCATGAAATAATATTACAAAAGCACGATTGCTTTTTGAAAAATTTAATACTTTAAAAGTAAAATTACATCACAAAATATTTTAGGATGTTGGAAGTACCTAAAAAAAATACTTTAAAGTTCTAAAGACATCACAAAATATTTTAGGGTATTGGATGCACTTGACAAAATACTTCAGAGTGTTAGGCGCACCTTAATCCTATCAGGTTCCTGTTATGCAAAAAGCTAACTTTGATAAAGTATGTTAGAATTATTAGCATATTAATGTGATTATAATTTTTGGAAAACATAACGACGATATTAAGTGAATTCTGCCAAACTTTAGGGTAATCAATACAACTTAAAGTGTTTAAAGTGGATGGTTTCATAATTGGTTCTGTATTATTGATTGTCTGAAGTCTTTGGGGGTAATAAATAAATATAGTACATTTATAAGAGAATTTTTTTTAAGGATGCTCTACTCCTTTTAAGACACTAATGGTCTCTTTGAAATAGTTGGTATAATTGTTTATTTTTATCCCCATTAATTATTGATTAGTATCACTGTATTAATTATTGACAAGTCTCTTTCACTCTCTCTCCTTAAACAAAAGTGCTTTTACAAGGTAAGTTGCATTTTTTATATATGAAAATTGGTTTAAGCAATTAAAGGAGTAGAAGGAGCTTAAACTGCTTCTATGTGCAAGTCCAAGTACTTATAACCTGAGAATATATTTATTAAAAGTTGGCATGTTTCTCCACTGTTCACAGGCAATGCTTCATCCTGATTTCCGGAAACGACCAATTGTAGAAGCTGTTCTCAATCATCGGTTCATGACTGGTTCAGTTCTGTGATTTTTAATATCAAAGATGGGTGTTTGAATGTATGTGAAAGATCTACCGCATGCGTTGTCATTCTTGTGCCTCCTGTAAATATTATCTTCATTTGTATCATAACAAGTGTGTGTAATTTTATTGCTCACAGTTTTCAAAAACCTGAGATTGATTCGATTGAACAAAAAGAAAAGAGATTGATTCGGTTAATACTCTCTTTAGACTTGTTCATTGTAGCCCAAACCCCAAAAGAAAAGAAAAAAGAAAAAGTCTTCCCCCTAATTTGAGCTAATTTTATATAGTCTAGTTCTTATTTTATAAGAAAAATTGCAGAAAAAGACCCTTGAATGTATAAAATAACAAAATGGATTCTTAAGTTAACATAATTACTTGAGGATACTAGGTCTTAAATCGCAAATATGAAATGAAGCATAAATATAAAAATGCCTCTTAGTTATTGAGAATCATTAATGAAGGTAGGGAGAAAAAATTCATGGCAAAAGCACTTTGAAAGAAGAGTTGACATATTTTGTAGCTTCCAACTGTGGGAATCAAGTGAGTAATGTTTCTCACTGCATTCTTCCTCTATACTTTCCTTTGAGATTGAGCAATGTGCTTTTTCTTCTTCATTTTGGTGAGTTGCGTTGTGCTTTGCTGGATTATATGTTGGGAGAGACTGAGAGGTGATGATGGTAGATGTTAGTTAGAGGAGGTAGTGGTTGGTTTGAGGTGGGATATTTTTTGTTTTTATAGTCTAATTGCTGACCTTTGATTTGTTCAGGGATGGTGGAGTGTGGGAGGGAAAATGGAACCTGAATCAATGAATGATGTAAAAATATAAGTAGTTATGTTTATGCAATTAAAAGTTGTTATTTGCTAGTGGATTGTTGCAAATTCTCATAAAAATGTTATTATGCTTATGGTGTTGCAGTTGAAAGTTTTTATTTGCTAATGAATTGTTAATTTACTTACTTAATTTGTAATTTCTATATCTAGACTTGTTTTACTAATTGAAGTTGTAATTTTCATATCTAACCTTATTATTTCTCTAACTAAAAAATTTTCATATCCAAACTTGTTATTTCATTTACTAGACCTATAATTTTCATATCCAGACTTGTTCTTCCACTAACTGAGCTTGTAATTTCTATATCCAAACTTGTTATTTCATTTACTAGACTTGTAATCTGCATATCTAGATTTGTTTTTCCACTAGTTTAACTTGTAATTTCCATATCTGGACTTATTATTTCACTAATCATACTTGTTCTTTAAATATATACATCCTAACTTATTATTATGCTAGCAGGATTAAGAATTTTTTTGGGACCGTCATAAGAAATGAATGAAGCTCTAATTACCGTTGGTAATGAATATAAGCCAGTGAATGTTAAGAATGATGGTAAATGCCTAACTTATGAAGGAGGTCGTTTTAGTTAGGGAAGTATGTGTACTGATTCAAAGAGAACATTAAGTAGATAGGTCATTAAGTGGATGCCTAACTTATGAAGGAGGTGGTTTGTAAGTAATATGTTTGATAACAGAAGAACATTAAGATGACAAATCATCTGAATATGCTCTTGTTACTGAACATTGTAAAATATAGTTGTTGTCAAAGCAATATTGGTTCTTTATTATTTGTCATACCATTGTTGTAATTTTTCATGGTAATGTTGTAATTGCAGACTTGTTATTATGATGGTAGCAACATTACATGATGATCTGTGTTGGTATTTTGTTGATGGCCATAACAATGCTAATATTTTATATTTATTAGTTGTAAATGGTAACAATGTAGATATATTACATGTTCTAATGTGCATGAAAAAGTTGTTGCATTTGTGTAGTCCAAAGTTGTAATTTGACATTCATAACTTGTTATTTGTCATAGCAAACTTGTGATTTGGCATACCAAACTTGTCATTAGCCAACTAAATATGAAAATAATGACAATTTATGGTAAAGCTTAAGTTGATGAGAATAGCAATAACTAACTTGTTATTCGGCATACCACACATGTTATTGGCGAATCAAGCATAGAAACATCGGCAGTTTATGGTAAAACTTAAGTTAATGAAAATAGCTCTTCATAACTTGTTATTTAACATACTACGCTTGTTATTTGATATAACATACTTGTCATTGGCTAATCGAATATGAAAATAAGGACAATTTGTGGTAAAACTTAAGTTAATGAGAATGACTCTTCATAACTTGTTATTGGCATACCATACTTGTTATTTGACATACCATGCTTATCATTGGTGAGGATTTATAGAATTTTAAAGAATAAAACCTGTAGATGTTTAGAATTTAGAATCAAGGAAGTCTCAAGAGTCTCTTCCCCCACTTGCTTGCCAATCAAACATGAAAATAATGACAATTTATGGTACACTTAAGTTAATGATAATATCTCTTCATAACTTGTTATTTGGCATATCACACTTGTTATTGGCTAATCGAATATGGAAATAATGTCAATTCAAAGTGATAAATTGAAAGTTGAGTAACAAATAAAGTAAATATTATTTTGGCAATACATAATTGTCATTTCATTAACAATCTATTACTGTGCTAAGTAATTGTGATGCAAATATTTAGGATTTTCTGTTATTTTAATTTTAATTTTTATTATATAGTTTATCTTGATTAATTAATTATTTTTGTAGGTAGTGACTTAATGAGCAGTTATCTTAACCCCACTCTCCATTCCTCATTTTCAGATTTTTATTATTATTTTATTTTCATAATTAGTTTGGGATATAAACATTACTAGAGTTTCATTTTGATGGCAGACTGCATTATACGATTGAAATTTATAGACTTTTCTCTCTTAGTTTTCTTTGCTTTCTCTTCATTCTTCCTATTTCCTTCTTTTTCTCCACAATTTCTCAATTTTCCTTCTTGTTTCACAGCAATTACAATATCTGAGCCGAGTTTTGTGCTTCCCACATGCCTATAATTCCTTTTTCTAACCTATCAAACATGCCCTTAACCCCAAACCTTCCACACCTATAGCATTTTACCCTCTGTTCACTCACTTTCTGGCATTCTTTCACCACACCTTCATCATAATTACCTTTGCCATTAAATTTTTGACTAGACCCCTCAAGTTTCACGTCCATCATGCCACCAACGTTCTCACTCCAGAACTAATGCTACCACTATTTCCCAACTTCATACACACCTATTCGTAACGAAACCACCTCCAATAGGACTGTATACTCAAACACAGTATGATCCCTAAACTTTTCCACCATCTCATCTATCATGTGCCCTCACACACAGATAAAAGCTCTGTGAGCAGCTCCCACGCACCTTCGCAATGTGCAGTTTAAGATTGGGTTTTTTCTTACAAAATTTACACTTTGAGACAAAATTTGTGGAGAAAACTACAATTTCAATCTAGTTCTTCTACAAAAATTGTGCTTTTGAACCCATATATCACCATTCTTAGGCTTTCCAGAAATCGAGGAGAAACATAAGAGCACTATTAGGGTAAATTTTATTTCTTGGTCTCTTTAAGTTACACCAATAAGGCCCAATTGATCCTCTATTTAAATTACTGTACTGTCTGGCATACTCTAGAGGTTATCATTCTTAATTGTTGTTACTGTTTTATTGTTGCTAATTATTGTTGTTATAGCTTTATTGTTTGCTGTAATTTATTAGGACAATTATTTGCTAGCTTTTATTTGCCTGAAGTTTATTTGTTAGTTAGAGGGGGAAAAAAGGAAAAAGAAGAGAGAAAAAAAGAAGGGAAAAAAATTATTGTTTTTTTTTCCTTTTTAACTCACTTGTGGCTTTTCTTGTTTAGTTGTTTATTACTTCTTGTTATTTTATTGCTTGTCCTTTGAACTAGAACTCACTTTCTTTAGACCCCAAATTTGTTAGATTGAATCCCAAACGGACAACAATTATCAAACCCTTTAATTCCAAATCTCTGAACTTACTAAATGCCTAAAGGAATTGATGGCCGAGATTAAGCAAGATGTTAATGCCAAGTACCAGGACCTTGAGACTCTAACAAGGACCTTAGGAAATCGCACAAAGAGCTTGAAGAGTCTTTGTATGAAACAAACGAGCAGATACTTGGGAAAGATGAAGATGGCATACTTAAAAGACCCTAGAGGAAACTGATCAAGCTCTAGATTTGATAAGGTTGGACCATCCTTCTTAAAGGACTCTCAGAATTTTGTAGGTCCTATAATTGTCCCCCTAGATCACCACACAATGGCATTCTTTACCGAAGCAAGAAAAGGACCCTGGGATAAGCATGACATCGATGATATTCTGGACTCCCCACCTAGATATAGGCGTGCTTATAGAGGTTATCTAGCTAACCGTAGATACAACCATAATCCATCGCCTCCTAGGCAATATCGAGATGCCCCTGTGGCAGGACTACTATGACGATGCGATGAAAAGGGTTAAGGTTGAGGCACTTGAATTGGATGGTCGGTCAGATTCAAATGCTTTCTTGAACTAGTTAGTGACGATGGATGACTACTTTAAGTGGTATAACATGAGTGACCTACAATAAGTTCATTTCACCAAAATGAAGCTCATTAGGTTTGAAAGAAAGTATTGGCAAAATATAGCTACAGGTCCAGTAGTTTACATACAAGTTTCACAGCAAAATCTTTCCTTTTACTAAATCAAACTTAATGATAAACAAACATTACTCAAATTTAGGTTACAGAAACATCACTTAACTTGAAAGCATTTAACATAGGGGTTGTAACTTACCAAATCAGAATCCATAGTTAAATCTTACATGTCAAAGAGAAATTCATGGGCACAACCATCCTAGAAACATCTCATGAGAATTAATACAAATTTCTTAACATAGTCTTCAAAATAATACATACATGCATCAGTAACAGAAGATAACATGCTTTGATTACTTAGCCACATTCTTTCCTTTCTCCAAAGATGAACTTGGTCCTAAAATGTTGAAGATTGGGGATGAGATTTGAGAAAATCTCAATAGCAAAAACCCATCATATATATAAACATATATAACATTGGATATAGATACAGCAATACCAATAGCTACAAATAAGCATACATGTTCTTACGTAATGATCTACATATGATGTAACATCCCAACATTTGAAACTCTAGTAATGGGAATGTAAGGAATGAAACATGATTGATAAGTATAAGGTGTGAATAAAACATGGAAACCCAAAATGGGAAAAAACTGACTTTATTAGGTCCCTAGGGGC